ACACACACACACACACACACACACACACACACACACACACACACACACACACACACACACACACAAATCAAAGTTAAATGGCATTCCAATAACAAAACTATGAGAAAGATTGATTATGAGCCAATCTAAGCTCTAAAATTGAAGGTTTCAGTTTTAACCAGTGACAGCTGTCAGCACTCTCACCTGTGACTCCATATTTGATGCTTTAAAAAAACTGCATTCTCAAATTTTAAATGGTGTTTCCTTTCACGCAATTAAAGTATTCCCCATAGATGCATTTTGTGTGCTCACTTTAAATGTTGAAGCATTTAAGACAAGTGACAGAAAAAACTTTGCTCAGGAAAATCTGTACAGATAGCTTGACCTCCTCCTGCCAATGGCACATTTTTATTTCTGCATCGACTTCAAGGATCATACACCAGGTGGGATGAAATAGAGACATGTGTATATCACAACTGTTTTCCACAAAGAATGATGCATGAAATTCATTCCAAACAATTTATATCTGAACATTTGTCATAACATAAAAACAGGCACATCTGTGCACAATTGTTAAAAACTATTTGTGTGTGTTTGAGTCTCTTTGAGTTTTAATGTAAGAATTACTTGTTTAAAGAGTCCTTACACAAAGAAAACACTCATTTTTCTGATCCGAGTTTAAGCCCCTGGTGTGTTAATAAAGAAGGTCATGGATGTATAGTAAATAAATATAATCTTACCAGTTTTCGATAACTTCTTGAACAGCATCAGTTTGGAGAAATAAGAGTTTATGTCAGACAGGACTGATAAGTTAAAAGCTAATCTGGCCAGAGTTGTTGCCTTAAAACAGCTCCAGTTAAAAAAAAAATTAAAAATAAAATTAATTAAATAAAATAAATAAAAAAATTCAGTGGTTCATGTGAACGTTTGCCTTTTCAAATACCTTTTACACCATTGTCATTTTCACATTCCTGTGATTTACTTGGATAGCAATGGTTTTAACCCAGTGAAAAGTACACTTCCCCAGCATCCACATCCTGCAGGAATTCCTAACATTTTTGTCCACATAACGATAAAGATTGGTGGTAGTGTTTGCACAAAACATTGTGAACTTTTGACAGTTGGCAAAATGATTAGGAAATTCCTGCCAGATGTGAACCTTGGACGTACCATAGTCCATATTATGACTGCTGTTGCTATTTATGCCTGCAAATAACCATAGATTTCTATGTAAATTCATGTAACATGAACTTGGCAACAGTGTAAAAGTTTCTAAAATAGTATTTGAATGAACTTACAGTATGTGAAAAATTGAATATTGGATTTGTTTTAACATGACATAAATTTACTTTGGTTTTGGCTGTCTTTGAACTAGCTGCTAGATCATCAATCTGGTCATATTTCTAGGTTATAACTTATTATAAGGAATATATTAATGACTGTCTTTACACTGTTTCCACAAAACAATCAAAGAAGCAAATAAAAACAAAACACTTAAAAAAGGCAGAACCTTTCCTTTAGGACTGATGCCAGTTAATTAATAAAGTAATGAACATCAAATGTTTGCACAATGGAAGTGCAACTATTGATTGTAATGACTGTTTTAGTATTTAAGCTTCATAAAGGTTTGCATTTTGAATGAGTGATCAAAGCTGATGTGTGTATTTTGTTGCTGTGAACAAACACTATAAAACAGAGCTTCTAACACTTGTGGTTAAAGTAAAAGTTTCATACAGATCATGTCAAACATTCAATTTCTTTGAAAAATAATTTGCTTAAATGCAAAAACCTCCACATATGCCATAAAATTTATAAAGGATGATTCACCTGGTGTACTGGGACAGGGAGGAGGATCACACTCATATGAAAAGTCTTCAGAATTTGCAGCTCCGAAGAGTTCTTCGACAAAATTAAAGTATTGCTCTGTTTCCCACCACTCTCGTCTGTAGTGGCATTCAAAATCCAACATTTCCTGTAAACATGAAAACATTTGGTTATGGAGGAAACTCTGGTTCTCTGAAAAATGAGTGGGGTTTCTCACTATGGGAAGCGCCTTCAGGCGTGACCAATCATTAAAGATCCAATGCCACCACTTCTGTCCCTGACAGATCAACATGTGCTTGGCACAGGAGCGCCCTCCTCTTATGCATCCCTGCCCGACACTTGGCATTCTTATGTGCCTTTTATCCACATGATCATTCAAGCAGGGCATTATAGTGAGATATCTTACACAATTGTCAGAGAACCAGGATTACCTCTGTAACCAAAGGCTCTCTTTCAAACCTTGCTTGGTATTTCACTGTGGAACATATGGCAACTCCATAGCCTGGCCCTTGCCTTCCTAGCAGCTCTGCTCAATTCTAGTTTCCCTTCTCTGCTCTATCTGGGACTTCTCCCATAGACAAGGATTTCACTGGCAGATTTTTAGCCAAACCAATCAGAGAACATAACGTCGATTTTCTGCGCAGTGTCTGCTTGTAGTTTATTCTACCTGGGCCAATCAGAGAACAGAAGGTGGAGTTTTGAACAATGTCGATTTTCTGCGCAATGTCTGGTAGTTAGTTTAGCATACGGCAGTGGAGGAAGTGAATGAAGCCAGTCTGTTTATAAGGCTTCAAATTAAAATAAATTTGTCTGACAAAGCAGCAGCTCTCATTTACAGTCGTCTCGTTCGGCTCGGTACTTTTCTCCTCTCAGTAGGGTTGTTTACAGCACAGGCGATTTCCTGTTAGCTTCTTAGCTTAGCCTCCTTCACAGCGACACACACACTTCAGCAGAGACCACGCCTCCAACAAGAATCACTTCTCTATAGCAGCGCATCCAGACCCTCGTACGAAACAAAGTGAAGGACAAGGGTCTGGTGTTTACCAGGCTACCAACTCCCAGATGGCATACTCTGAAGCATAATGTAGGTCAGATACATGAAGGTTTTCTCTCCATCTAGCCCCCCAAGGAAGTTTCTGCTTTCCTTTGCTTGCTGCTGAGTTTCTGCTGGCCACTACAATTACCTTGTCAAGTGCTGCTTTTTTCCCCTTCAGAGTGCAGGAGGAATGGTTAGAACCCCCCATGGGAGCGGCTGTGGCAAATGACCTATTGCCCCACTGCTTCTGAGTCTGTCGTCCCTGCTGACAGGATGATAAACATGGATCCCTTGTTGTTTCCACTGCAGCCCCTCACTGCCGAGGCTGCAAAACTCTGACGAGCCGGTGGCTCCACTTTGTGTAAGACACAAGTCGAATGCCTCACCCTGATTCTCCCTCATAGCTTGCTGCAAGGCTGACTGCCTCTCCAAACAGCCTCTTAGCTTCTCTCCAAACAACCTCGTAGCCCGCAATGGCCTTTCTTCACCCTTGTCATCTTGTGATGCAGGCCACTTGATGGAGAGTTTGCACGCATCATGGAGGTCGACTTCACAAGGTGCCAGAGAGGGCTGAAGTCCACCATTTATGGAGCTGCCGGGTTGTGACAACAAGGCAGCGGGAGGGAGAATGGCATTCTCATCATCATCCTCACTCTCCCCCTACAGGAGTCTAATTTTATGTCCACCTGGTCGTCTTCTCCATGGTTGTCCTTGTCCTCAAAGTAGAGAAGTTGACTGTACTGGTGGGAACTCCTTGACGTGGCTCTCCAACTCCACCCTGTCCCCCCAACACACACTTGCCATGCTTGTCTAACCACTGGACTTAACACCAGGCTGCGTCCCCACCTCAGAGTGACATTGGTCAGCTTTTGAGGTTGCTGCAACCCATAGGCATTTTTGCAATATCCGTAGTGCCACGACATGACAGTGGCCATATGAGCAAGGGTCAGCCGGTGCCTTCTGTGCATGCTTCACCTCCATGCATGCGATGCAAAGGAGATGTGGACGTCCTTAGCCTGGCCACCACACGACATCCCTAAGAAGAACCAGTGGTTGCCATCCTGTTAACACTCACTTTCACCAGCTTGACTTCATGACAACAAGGATGCAACCAGCTATTAAAGCGAGGTACGCCACAACGCGAAAAACCCACCAAAAATTTTTCTTGATGAAAAATGTATTTTTCTTGATGAAAAATTGTCAACAGCTTCAAAATACCCAAAAAACCCACGTTCTGGACCAACCTTGATAGCTGAGTTGGTGAACAGTTAATTGAGTAATCCAGGATCAGGACCACTGAAGGAACTAATTTAAACTTCACATGGAAGAAAGGCAGAATGACAAGTGTTGGGCAGGGGCACTTATAAGAAAGGGAGGGCTCCCCTGTGCCAAACATGTAAGGACATGGCATTGGAGGTTCCATGACTGGTCACACCTGAAGGCGCTTTGAATAGTGAGATACCAAGTGAGGTTTGAAAAGGAACAGTTTACATCATTAGTATTTTCTTTGTGTAGATAGGTTGAAAACTCTTCCAAAATAGCACTTTGGTTGCATTTTCAAACTAAAAAAACAGGATCTGTAACCATAAATTCCAACAAAATGTAATCACAGCAGTGTTCCAAAACAGCTTTTCTAATGGCAGCTTTAAGAACAATAGTAAGAATTAAAAAAAATATTAACTTACCCGATTTAAGTCATTGATGATCATTCGCACATTCTGAAGACAATGGTTGACTAAATTGATGTCCTGTTTATTGGATGAAACATTTCCAAACTTATCGGCTAAATCTTGTATACTCTGCTCCAAGTAGTAAATATTTAATTTCACCCAACACATTCTAGCCTAGAAAAAGAAAGTCATAAAACATTATGTACTGTCTTACATATTTCACATACAGTACAACATAATGTGGATTAAACTTATTAAGGTATCAATAAGAAAACTTTTTGGACAGTGAAAATCTATCAAATGCATCCAATTAGTGAGGTTTCACACACAGAAACACTACATAATAGCTACACTGGTCAGCCATAACATTATGACCATGTTCCTGAAATCAATTTTCTGTTGCAGCAATTATAATTTTGACCAGTCAGGGTTTGGAGTAACATGGCGTGTTATGAATGGTGGGCTAGGATCCTTTTGTAAATAGAACGGTTTCATGAAATGCCATGCCACTGCAACTTTTGGTTGCATTCTTTGAGCCTTTCTGTAAGAATTTTGGTAGAGCCCTTCATTGTCCTTCATTGTTTAGAATGTTGGGGTAAGGTGTTAGTGGAGTCTGGGGAGTTACCATGTTATGTGGGGTTGGTCTACATGCATGATTTGGCTGGAGTAAGATTTAAAGTAGCATTTATGCTAATAATATAATCCAGGTTTCTAGCCCAGTGTAACATCCCAAGAAGAGAGTGTCACTTCACCTGTCAGTGGCCATAATGACTGCTTATACTGTACATTATTTTCTAAAGTATTGTTAAGAAAAGGTCCAACATTATCATCAGGCTTATTCGTTTTTAAGATCAAATAGTACACATGAACATCTTATTTTGGTATTGTAGTTTAGTTGTAGAAACAAATATACTGTATTTCAATCTAAAGTGAACCTACAAAACAATACAATACAGAACTTTATGTGGGTAGATAAAATGTTGCCTTACCACTTCTTTCGGAATGTAAAATACAGGAATTTTATAATCTTTTGGAATATTTTGTTTCTGTAAAAAAAAAAACAAGAAAGTTACATTAGTTGGACTTGTTATTCAAATGTGCAAATGCAATGACAAATAAAAAACAATGTTCACAAGCATTGCAAACCTCTGTATGCCAAATCAAAATCACAAATTGATTTTAGAAATGTTGGGCAATGCTTTTTTACTGTTTAAGGAGAGCATCGTGCTTTCTACTAGCAGGATGGAGTTGCAGGATTATCATTCCCTATGATCCACATTCTTCATATTTGACAAAAATATGACTTAAGTTAAAAAAAGTTCAAGTGCTAAACTGACCTGACTTCATATCAGACCTACCAGTATTTAAACCATTTTCACAGTAGTGATGGTTCGGTTGCAAACAATCTGGCTCTAAAAATATTTGCAACTGACCCATCGTTACTGTGAACCTGAGTCATATCTTTGTGAAGACTGTGAACCAACCTTAGAGCTTCCATCAGTCTTTGACGAGACTGAGAGGAGACAAATCCTAATTGGGAGCCATTTTTTTCTCAATACCAATTTTTACTAAAGACTTTTGTTCTTTTTATTTAACCTTTATTTCAACAGGGAAAACATTAAGAACAGTTTTTATTTACAATGTTGGCCTGAGAGTGCAAAAACACTTAAAACACTTAAAAATGGGAAGATGGGGAAGGGGAAACAATATAAACAGTACATAAAAAATATAAAACAAACGCTACATTCATTCACTTGCTAAAAGTGTCACTACATGCTGCTTTTTCTTTTTGTTTTGCACATTTTATGCACATAATATGCCTGAAGAGAGATTGAACCTCTTTATTTAATTGAGATGTGACTTTTTTTTTTGTTGTCTTTTATCATTTAATTTTGCAACACTCTGTTCTATGTTGAGTATAAAAAGCCATATAAGTAAATAAACACTAAAAGAGATGCAAGTGCATTCAAACTTACCAAACAAGGGTGTGCTAAACTGGAATGCAATGGCATTTTGTGGCACAGCAAAAAAGAAGCAACAATTTCCAAAAATAACAAAAAAGAAATAGACAACAGCTAACATTTTGTTTCCTCATTGAAAACAAATGCTTACCACTGCTTCTGGTGCTCCTGTTTTTTTGAAAGCTATTGCTTCTTTATTGCTGTGCCACATAAACAAGCATTTGATACAATGTATGTTACTACATTAGAATTCATTTTACACATACTTGGTAATAACTTATTACACAAAAAAATCTGAGAAGCCACTTGGAATTCAAAAGAGCTCTTTTGAGTGAGCCGATCTGGCTCTCTAAAAAGAAATGTAATTCCCACACTATGAAAAAAGTAACATTCATTTAAGATATACACTATATTGCCAAAAGTATTTGCTCTCCCATCAAAATGACTGTGCACCAGTGCGCAAAGCAAGGCCCATAAAGACATGGATGGCAGTCTGGTGCGGATGAACTTGACTGACCTGTACAGAGTCCTGACCTCAACCTGAGAGAACACCTTTGGGACGAATTAGAGCAGAGACTGAGAGCCAGGCCTTCTGTCCAACATCAGTATGTGACCTCACAAATGTGCTTCAGGCTGGTCAAAATTCCTCATAAACACACTCTTAAACCTTTTGAACAGCCTTCCATAAAAGTTGAAGCAGTTCTAGCTACAAAGGGTGGACCAATGTCATAATGAACCTTATGGATTAGGAATGAGATGCCACTTAAGCTCATTAGTCAAGGCAATACTTTTGGCAATATAGTGTATATATCAAAATCTGTCTTGCATGGGTTTCATAGCAATTTCACAGCTCTGGAATATTTTTCTAACAGCTTACCAAATTAGAAGGTAAATCGTGACAGCCATCAGTCACGGCGGTAACTTCGAATGTAGCTGAATGTACCCCAAGTGTGATGAACAGCAGGAAACGGACACAAACGTGTATCCAACTCTGTAAAAAAAGAGAGACCAATATATTCAGTCAGCTGCACAAAAAAGTAGTTCTATAGCATCACAAGTGACCCTCCTACCTGGAGATATCAATGACAACAAATGACTGAAACATGTCAAGCTGAATCAAGACTGCTTCGTTGATGATTAAAGAGGTTTAATTCGAATTCAAAGAGCTCTTTTAATGGAAAACGTTTGGTTTGAGTTTTAGATATGAATAAGATAATAATAAAAACCATTGGATCAGAAGCAAAACATTTTCAAGAATCAAAGAAGAAAGTCTTATTGTCCAATATTAATCTTGCTGGGTTTGCCAGGTCCTGGATAACTGGGAAACTACACTAGTGTACTTTCTTAAAATAGTGCCAAAATCTACACTATGTTTTGACATGTTGAAAAATCAAAAACTAATCAGATTAAGATTATGTTTGTCACAACAATCTTAAATTCCTTTGATTCAACCACAGGTTATAGGCACCATTGATAAACACAGTGAAAGCTGCTCAATTGCCACTTTAAAATAGCTTAAATCAGACATTTAAAGTAGTTTCTGATTACAGAATGTCTGCACATATGTATTTGAGTAGAAGCGTGTCATTCATTGGTCCTAAAATTAATGTCAAGGTCAGTACAAACTGCATTTAAAATTACCACCGAAACATATTTTATTTTTTCATGCTCTGTTTTACAACTTAGATTATTTTGTTGGTGTTGTTTTTATGCTTATAAATTTCTATTCACCCAAAAGCAGCAAACAACTATATTTCAATGACAGCTAAAGTTTGTCTATATTATAATAGTAGCTCTCTAAATTTTATTGTTGTTTTGGACAACTGATGATGAAATTCAGCAATGAGGGAACCAAGGAGAACCTTGGGGAGCTTTTATTCACTATTTTTAGAGAAGGGGTCAATAAAAAAAATTTCAAACAGGGACCATATTTTTTCTTCAATGACTGTCTGGGGTCCAGCCTTTGATGTAGAACATATTTATAGAAAAGAAAACAGTCAAAGATGGAAAATTAAGACTAAATTAGGCTGTTTAGTATTATATTTATTATAACCAATTTTACGGATATAAACTGTATTTTTGTATTTAATAAGTTAACCTTCTTGCAAATAATTACATAAATCTCAGAGAAATGTCAACCCAACCTGTAACTACAAAACTTCTGAAGAAATTTTAGGAAGTACTGCTTCAAAATCATTCATATAAAGCAAAAAAGTAAAATAAATAAATAAATAAATAAATAAATAAATAAAAAAAATCAAAAAAAAGTTTTTGGAATAATCTAAGATGAGAAAGATCACTGATCACATTATTTTGATCTTTACACAGTAAAAAATAATATAAAAAAACTTAAAAGAACCAAAATCAAAGGTTATGTTAATTTTTTTAAGTAAAGAGAAAATAGATACAGAGAGAAAAACAGAGAGAAGTAATTAGAAAGATTGAAATAGCGATTAGAAGTATATTAAATATACACCAAGAAAACACAGGACCACACACCCAACATCTGTCCGCTCACCTGAAAAATAAATGGATAAATACATGGAGGACATATATAAATATATACACATACCCATACATATGTAAAGATGTGCATACATACATGCCTACATTCATAAATATTGTCAGTATATTCACACAGACATATATACACACTCAGTGACCAGTCAGAACCCCCCGGATCAGAGCACCTGTTTGTGAGCAATTGTGAACATGCGTGTATATACAAGATTTCTCCAATGGAATATTTAATAGTGACTGTGGAGGACCGAGACCCAACCCCCAAGACACGAGGCAGACATAGAGAAGACCAGAGCCCAAGGGCCCGACAGGGATCCCGAGCGCAGAGCCCCAAGGGGCACCCGCACGGGAAGATCTGCCCACCCACCCCCAGATCAGACCATAGGGGAGAACTGGGAGAGTCCCCTCAGCGACCACAAGCACAGACCCCGGGGCCAGCAGCGACAAACTCATGGGCCCACCGGCACCCGCCATACCAGAGCAGATCCAGGAAAGGGCACAGTGGTCTGGGCGCCCAGGGCGCACCCCCTCCAGGCCAAAGCCCGACAGGGCCAGAGGCCCCAAGCCCCAGCAGGCAGTCACCAGGCCAGGCCGGCACACACCCCAGCGCCCAGCCCCAGACCCCGGGAACCCCCAGCACGCCACCGGGGGGCCGAGTAGCAGCGGGCCCCCAGATAAACCAGCAGGAGGGGCAGCCCAGACCGCAGCCTGACAAATACCCAAACATAAACAATCGCACCATCCCACCATCATCCTCATCCCCACTCAGTCAAAGACATACAAGGACGCCACATTCCACTCATATCCCCGATACACACTCTATACCCCCCAGGTCCAGGACATGTACCCACCCCCTAATGGAGGCTGCACATACCCGAACCCAGGAGGTAGACACAATCATTCTGAGGTGGAGAGGAGCAGATAGCCAAGGCCAAGGTTATGTAAAATTTTCAATCTAAGATTTTTTTAAACGGTGGTGGTGGGCTTTTCGTATGTTTGTGTGCGCGCGTGTGTGTGTGTGTGTGTGTGTGTGTGTGTGTGTGTGTTTACTTGTTTTGACTGTAGAGTGAGGACCATTCGTGCCATAGTTACTATCAAAGTGAGGCCTTTGATGTAAAGTGAGGACCTCTTCAGTGTCCTGACTTTATTTGCAGCTCTGCTGTGCTTTACTAGTTAGGTTTAGAGGTATGGTGTGAATTAAGTTTTGGTTCAGGTTAGGGTTAACTATAGACCAGTAATTGGTAATGTTAGCGAAAATATCAGGGTTAGACACAAAAATGAATGGAAGTCAATACAAAGTCCTCAGTTTGATGCAAATATAAGGATGTGTGTGTGACACGACACCAGTTCTGTGTGCCTTCATTGGCTTTTCAGTCCACTTTGGGTCCCAGACAGATTCTCTGTGCTTCCTGTTTTTTCTTCCCTCTCTTCTTCCCTGCGACTCTTTTCTGCCTCACCCTGCTCACCTGAGCAAGAAGATGCACACTCCTGCTCTGCCTCTCCACCTTTCTCTCCTTCACTCACCTCCTCCACTATATCAGCCTGTGTACTTGTCTAATACAACTGAGAAGTGTTAGATTAATGTCAATCACCAATATCACACAAGGGACATTGGGAATATTTAAATATTACATGTGTCACTGTACAGTTCACTATGATTTCTATATTCCTCATCACTTGAGGGAACTGCGTCACAATAAACAAGACTATGCTTTTTTTTTTTAGCTCATGGCACTGGTACAACAGAGGTTGTTGGTTTTGTAGCACAGAACAAAAAGTTGTAGCACCAGCATAAATTGTCTGTTATAGTCTCTAAAACCAAAAGCATGAATTGTGGGTGTTGTAGGACAGGGGTTAAACATTTTCAGAGAGTTACTTCAGGGGTAGCCTGGGTAAAAACCAGACCCTTGTCCTTCATTTTGCTTCGTACAGAGTGTCTGGACTCTCGGCTATAGAGAAGCGAATCTTGTGGGAGGCGTGGCCTCTGCTGAAGTTTAAAATGATTGGATCGCTTGGCCGCAAGTGCCAGTTCCACTGTGACGGAGGCTAAGCTAAGAAGCTAGCTGGAAATCGCGTGCACTGTAAACAACCCTACTGAGAGGAGAGAAGTACCGAGCCGAACGAGACGACTGTAAATGAGAGCTGCTGCTTTGTCAGACAAATTTATTTTAATTTGGAAACCTTATCAACACGGACTGGCTTCATTCACTTCTTCCACTGCCGTATGCTAAACTAACAAGCAGACACTGTGCAGAAAATCGACGTTGTTCAAAACTCCACCTTCTGTTTGCTGATTGGCCCAGGCAAAATAAACTACAAGCAGACACTGCGCAGAAAATTGACGTTCTGTTCTCTGATTGGCCCGGACGAAATGCTCCCCAAGAAATCCTAGTCTATGGGAGAAATCCCAGATGGAGCAGTAAAAAAAACTATAAACTAGAATTGAGCGGAACTGCATAGGAAGGCAAGGGCCAGGCTACTTAAATGTACAGAGGAACATGAAAGGCTTCTTGTTTGACACAAACATACATCTGCATGATTCACCTTCAGTTAAAATAGTAAAGCATTTACATGTGAATATTTTAATGTTAAATGTTAGTTCAAACATGAAAAGTACAAATCTCTACTGGCTTGACTCAGTCGGTAGGGTGATCATCCAGTGATAAGAGGCCTGGGGACAGAATAATTTTTTTACATATACTTTCTTGTTTAAACTTAGAATGATTCAGTTTAATTCAGTTTTTCATAAAGTGCCGAGTCACAACAATAGTCATTTCAGGGCACTGTACAAGTGAATATGTTTCTAGTGCAAAGGATGCCACGCCTTAACTACAGACAGTGCTGGGTTTTCTTATTTAATTAGCCAAAAGTCCATTGTTGAGGGAATTTATTAAGCAGTTTCTTTTTATAAACTTTTCTACAGCCTCCAATGCACTGCTAGCAAAAGTTGTTGCAAACTATTCTTGATCGAACCACACAGTTTGATCTTCCCGTGGCCATTAGGGCATGATCACTGCCTTGGGGTTATATGGTCAGCTGCTAATGGTCAATGAATGAGGAACTGCAACAACAAAAGGCTGATGGGAGCAAAAGACAAATGTGGACACTCCAACGTTTTGTAATTATATGTTTAAATGTTGGCTTGGTTTAAAGTATGGAAAGTATTTTAAAGACAGACACAATACCCATATGGCCACTCAATGTAAAAATAGTTTCCCATGGCTACTTTACAGGCTCATGATCTAACTGTTTCCTTTATTTTGGCTGACCTCCTTCCTGTACTCTACACCAATCACAGCATATTACGCAACAGGCCTGCAATTCTCCTCTTAATATAGATCAGATTCAGGGCCAGTCGGAGCCCTGCCTGAATCGATTCATTAACCTGGCATGTGAACCTGCCCTTGGATAAATAAAGCTTTGGCATGTTTTAAAAGAGAGTGGGATAAAATGCTGAGCCATGGGATCTCC